CAATGAGGGTGGTGAAACACTGGAACAGGTTGCCCAGAGAGGTAGTGGAGGCCCCATCCCTGGAAGCATTCAAGGCCAGGTTGGATGGGGCTCTGAGCAGCCTGATCTAGTTAGCGGTGTCCCTGCTCCTGCGGGGGGGTTGGACTAGAAGACCTCTAGGGGTCCCTTCCAATCCAAAACTCTGATACTATGATACTGTGATACTATGATACATACAGTCGGTGTTAGAAAGTACATACGTCAGCTCAGTGTGTTTGCATTAGCTTGATTTATGATGGTGGCAAATGCTGAAGGAGTTTTGTAGTGATGCCTTCAAGGAATATGTTTATGAAGACTACTGTGTAAGGCATTTATTGGATCAAATGCATGTATATAGCTCAGAGATTTTGATATGGTGATATAGTGAGTTTCCAAAAGCTGGATTCCCGCTCCTAGGGATCATAGGCACTGTTTTGTCAGCTGAATGAGATTTAAAATGTGAGTTTCTTCCTAGAACTGAATTTTGGCATGTGTTTGCTGAGTGCTTCCCAGCAGTTTGCTTTCTTGACCTGCATAAAATGCCCCCCAGAAATAATGTCTGCCTAATTCACAGCCATGAGGCGAAGATTAGTTGAATGACAGGAGGAGGAGCAGAAAGCCTGACATTCTTGATGCAGTCAGATTGGAAGTTGGCAGTTAGAGCACTGCCCAGGGACTTGTTAAACAGTATTTCCTGCTCAAGTTAAACAGCTAACTAGATTTTTGGGATTTTTTTTTCCAGGCCTCTAACCCACAAATTGAGGGAGTTAGGTGTGCCAGAAGTAAGTTTTATATGCAAACCAGAAAGACCAGTGCATGCTTTTTTTTTTCCCTGTTGTGATTTAAGGAGCCTTTTTCACATGGCAAATAATTTTGTTCACATCAGTTTAATCACGGTTATTATTGTTCTAGAGTACAAAACATTTAGCACTTGCCTGTTTTACTGTGAAATAAGTGGTCCTGGTATTTGGCAGTTTCATTTTAAGAAAAAAAAAAAAACCCACAACACAACAAACTGTGGGAACACAGAATTGCCATGTCCTACTGATTTTTCTAGTCCATTGACAGTTTCTGGTCATGGCCAATGCTGGAAAACCTGAAGGTGATAATCATGGAACAACTTGATGATGCTGCTCATGCATTAGCAAAATCTGGCATTTCCATTGAAACGTTAACTTCCTTTCCCCCTATAAACAGGTGAAAACAAATCCTGAGCCTTTTTTTACCTGTCCTATGAGAAAGGAGAAGGAAAGGTATTAAACAAGCCTAAGTGTATGCTGTTATTTATTTTTTCCTTTTTAACAAAGGAGCAAGTCTTTTGGTCTTGAGGTTTCATGATGATGTTCACAGACCAGCTGTATGTATAGAATGGTATAGGAATATTTCTTTTATTGGGTTGAAAATGGCTGCCTCTTAATTAACAAATGAATGACAGCCTCTTTGAAGTGGGACTCTTAAAAAGGGACAACAAAAGACAAATCTACCCCTCTGCTGTGTGCTGTCCCACTCAGATTGGTTGAACACTTTGGTTTTCCTGATCAACCGGCACTTATTACTGTAGTCTTTGTGAAAAAAGGCACTGACAGCGTTGTCGGTGTTTCAGGGTAACTTGGGCAGACAGAAGGGGTGCAGGTTATTTCTTTGCATTAAAGTGGTGTAGGCATATGTGCACATTAGTACTTGAGCAGAAACTTCTTGAAACTGGAGACCTGATGTATCCCGATCTGGGACCCCTGCAGAACATTGGTGTTTCCTGGGAGAAGAATAATGAGGAAATTGGCAGTGAAGCATAAGTAATATACTCCTAAGACTGGACTGGATCATTTCTGAAGGGTCAGTGGATCTCATATTTTTGTAGCCTTAAGAAGACTTTATAAATGTTAAATATGAATCTGAGTTATCCTGACAACTGGCTCCCAGGAATTAATTTCATTTAGAGTTGCCTTGCTTCTGTCGATATTCAGGTGTTTTGGGGCATGTGTGTATATGGGTTGGTGGAGGGGGATTGATGAAAGAACAGACAAAACATGTTCCTATGTTGACTGCCTCTTCAGAATGAGAGAGTGAGCAATGTGAGGGAATGGAAGAAGGTCACTCCAGCACTTCCTTACCAAAATGAGGGAGAGGATAGTTAGAAAAGTGATACAATACAAGGGCTTCACGTTGCTTTCTTACAGTTCCTTTATGCTGTGTGACTAATGCTCTCATAGCTCATCCTTACATGCCTGAATGCAGGTCTATTGATTCCCTGGTGAGAGGGTAGTTGATAGCAAGCTGTGCTACGCTGTGTTCTTCCTCCAAGGGATAAATGCAGTAAATCTGACTGTGACTGCAGTCATGAGGTTAAACCAGAATAAAGCAGCAAGCAATTTCAGTAGTGGACTCTTTAAATTTCTCCTCTTTTAGTGCAGTGATGCCTTCCCCCCTCTCCACTTCTCACCCTCATTTACTGGGAAATCTGGGTTAAAACGAGTGTTTGTTGTTTGTAATAGTAAATCTCTAGAGCAGCTAGAAGTTTTTGTGTTTGACTGTAACCCAGCACTTCTCAGAGAAGAGATATTGTTACAAGTGGTTTGGTTGGTGTTGTTTATAATATTAATGGTAATGTAGGTCCTTTGTAAATTAAAACATTGGTTTTTGTTTTGCTTCTTACAGGCAGTGCTGATAAGTAACATCACAGTAAATGAACGATTGATCCAGAGTCTGCGAGGTATGTCATAAATCCTCTCTGCATCTCTCCCAGATTGTTTTTTAAGCCTCCTGTTTTTTAAGATGTGTGTTTTTCTGGTGTCTTCTGAGAATGCTGCCTTTCTTCCAAGTCATGGGGATGGTGCGGGAGCTGCAGTGACTTAGATCCTGCCCCTGCATAGTTCCAGTTCAGTGAAGTGTCAGACTCATCTGCCTCAGTGGTTGAAGGATTTGTCCATGTAGTGTTGGATATAGGACTTCTGACCCTTATGATATAAAATAATAAGGAATAAAACTGTGTATTGTTAATATATTTATTCTTCCTTCTACCTTTTGCAGCTTATTCTTGCATTCCTTCCTGATGTGTTTGGGTTGTGCATTTTAACACCAGGGGAATTCATAGACTCCTGTAGTAAATAAGAAAACTTGGTCTAATTAATTTCTATTGACGTTGGTGCTTCAGAATTGTTGTTAGCAATTTATTTCTCAGGAAGTCTGGGGAAGGGATTCTAAGTTCAATAAATAGGTAAATGTATTGTGGCGCCTTTTTCTGGTGCCCTCACACAGAGCTTTCTCTTGGAAGAAAACTCTATGTGATAGATGCCTCTGTTTTTGAGGAACATAACTGTAAATGGCATGTTATTCAGGGAAGCATAAGCTTGTCTTTAGATGGCTAATAAACATGCAATTCCCTTTCATACTATGTTCTGATTAGTATTTCAGAGACCTGAAGATTTCCTGGGCTGAAATCTAGTAGAGCAAGAGCTTGCAACAAGTTAGAGTATTGCTTATGAAGAAAAAGAGGTCAAAAAAATCTGTTACGCTGTTTTTGTTAATGTGTTAGGCTGAAAGGCTAGTCTTACCCAATCCTGTGCGTCTTTGATGCATAAATTCAACAATTATCTATTCACTTGTATGCAAAACATAGTGAGCATGACAGATGGAGTAAGCATGCTTACTATTGATCTGTTGTTTGATACTTCTATTGTAATACATGTAGGTATATATGTGTGTGTGTATTTTAGTATATATTTTAATCCTGTTTTGGTCAGAACACTTGAAGGAGTTACAGATAGAATATGGAAAGCTACAGCTGGACGTTTACAGGTTCCAGAAGAACCAGACTAACCTTCAGAGAAAGTTCTCGTATGACCTGTAAGTATGTTCTTTCCAAAAGATGGCTTCTGGAGTTGTCAGTGACTTGGTTATAACCCAGAGTCTTCTTGTGACAGCTATAGCACTGTTAGTAAATATACAGTTTTACAGAGAATGTAACACCTGACACGTCCTCTGAAATTGCTCAGAGTTGGTCTTGGAGAAGAGCATAGACCTTGCAACACTCAGTATCTCTGTATTCACAGACTTCTCCCACACTTCTTGATGTTCCTTCCATTACAGGAGGAGTAAGGTAGCCATATTCTCATTTAAGAGTTGGGGGGGAAATTGAAACACAAAGAGGCTAAACTCTGAAGGAATTTAAGAACTAAGATATAGGAATACCCAATGAGAAGCTGTACCTCATTTTGCTGCCGCAGGTCTCAGAAAATTCAGATACAGTTGTGGTCAGAGCCATGTGTTCCGCGCTACAGTTCATACCTAGTCATGTGTTTTGTTGAGATTTCCCACTGAACTGTAAGGTCTGGATAACTGTGCACAAGTGCTTATCAGTGTCCTTTACACTAAATAAACATTTCTGGTATTTCTAGGAATTTCTCCTGGGTTCTTTCTGTTCACTAATGTTCTTGTTCCCTCTACCTGTCTTCACATCCTATTGTATCTTCCCTCTGGTGTGTAGATGTAGAAAACCAACAGAATTTTCTGTTTGCATGTTCTCATAATAATTTTCCATCAAGAATGTAATTGTTGTAGTGATACTTATTTTTCCAGCAGCCACTGTTTAGCCAGATTTTGTAGGAGTTATGACTGAAAGCTCAACAAGGCAATCAAAGAACTTGAATTCTGCAGGCCAAACTTGAAATACCTTTTTTCTTTTTTTCCCCTGCTTAAGAATTAAGGATTAGTATTAGTGCTTTTGGGATGCTTCCTGCTTACCAGTTGGTTGTGTACTCTTTTTTTTTTTTTTTTTTTTTTTTTTTTTTTTTTTTTAGGGCATTATTACTCATTTAATAGTAATGACCCAAGTGGATTGTATTAGTGGAGTCCTAATAATTTAGGACTTCCAACAGAACAGTAGAAGGAAGTTGGAGTCTTAAGTTTGTACCAACCTTTTATTAAGCCACATTGCATTCATGTGTCTATTAAGATACTTGTTCCCTCTTAAGTTTGTTGTGTACCACAGTTGTTAAGCACTGTCCACTGTCTCTTTGCTGTTTAGTTAAATGACAGAGTTGGGACTTCTGGACCTCTGTTGATAGTTCTTTGCTGGTTAGAGTATCTGTTTGCCAGCATCTTGTAAGGCTGAGATCAGCAAGAAGAAATAGATGTGTAGGTGTATGTATGCACTGTACAGTCGTGCTCTACATGAGAAGTACGTCCTTGAAGCACTGTATCGATACACGTGTGCAGGGAAGTGATAGAAGGCAAATGTAGTCAGTGTGGTTTCTGAAGACTCAGGTTTATTGTCCTTCTCTGGTGCAAAGTTTTCATGTACGGCTCCAATGAGGAAATTACCGACAGCATCCCTGCTCGTGGGAGTGTAATGTAAAGAATTGTTCTTTGTTTAACAGAAGAAGGAGGGATCCAGATCGTACAGCTCCAGGGTCAAGGCTGACTCAAGGAAAAGAGCTAAACAAGTTACAATGGTGAAGATGGGGTTGCTTGCATCAGGGCAGATGTAGAGACTGGAATGATAATTCAGCCATGTGCTAGCTGAAGAGGCACTCAGCTAGCTGGTCTGCCTCAAGTTGGTCCTGAGGCAGGTGCGCTGTTTCCTACAGTCTCTCCATTGGAATCCATAAAAGCAGTTACCTCAGTTGAGGAGCTATGCTGTCTTCCCTAGCTTTGCTGAATAACACACTCAAGCATTCTTTTTCTATTTCTGGATATTTTTTTTTGTAGCAATGCAAGTGAGGAAAACAAACTTTGTGCTCAAATTTTCATGGAACGCTTTATAGCTTTGGGCACCCTGTAGCATTCACACAATTCTAGCAGGAACATACATAAATGCATTTTTTTAAATGTTGCTTGTTGTGTACCTTTAGGGGGGATATTGGAACGTTAATATTTCGTTGTTATAGTAAGTTACATTACTAACGCTTTGCATTGCATTCTGGTAGTTGCAGAAACACACATCTGATTGTACTTGGTTACATACATTCCTCTTTGCTGTTACTAAATGCTTACTTAATACTGTCATTTTAAAAGCTTACAAAAAACCTTTTCCCAACGTGATTATGGGCCTAGAAAAAGAAGTATAATTAGAAAGACTCAAAATGTTGCTTCTAGTCTGTCTTCCCTCCTCCCCTTCAATATTAGGAGTAAACCAACATGTTGCCTCTCTGTTCACCTGCAGTAGGCCTTGGCAGGAGGGGGCATTAGACCTGCTTTTGTGCTATGCCAGTGTTTCTTCCTTTGATTTGGAGTTGTGTGGATGAAGCTTTCGCACCTTACATATCAGGTACAATTTGCCCAGTGGAAAAATGAAGAGACAGTATTACTGTATAAATGAAAATGTTATAAAAAGATGACAGAAGTAAAATGCCTTTTTTAATTGCACTCATTGTAAATCACTCTTACTAAATAATTGGATATTGCACTGTAGAAGACAGTGATAAAATTGGCTGTGGGTGTGCAATGCTTAAGAACAAAATTTGCTAACTTGGAAGGTACAAAACCCACTGCTTTTTCAAGGAACAGAGAGGCAACATGTTGGTTTACTCCTAATATTGAGGGGAGGAAGGAAGGCAGGCAGACAGAAAGCAACATTTTGAGCCTTGAGGTTTCATCTTAGCATTCTTGTTTTGAGCAAGCCTAGTGTTTTCCATACAGAAGTTAACAGGAGTTGTGTGAGCTTACTGGTGGTGTGTGCAGAAGGAGTGCACATTCCTCAGCAGTCAACATACCAAGATATCCTTGGTGCATACCATATCCATGGTGTCTGCTTGCCATAGAGCTTGTTCAGCAAAGGCTGACTGGCAGCACTGGCAACAACCAGAGAGAAACAGAAGCCTCTGGACTGATCTTCTGAAGATGTTTCAGTGTTCAGATGCGTTTTGATTTCTAGGAGCTTTGTTTGTTATGTAGCTGCTGCTTTGGAAAGCTTGCAACTTGTAAGAAGTCTGATAATTAGTTTGGTTTTTGCAGCCCTAACAAGTGTATGAGTGTGAGTGTGCAAGTAATCTTTTTTGGCAGGGATGAAAGGGGCTGGTGATACATGCTCCTGGGAGGACAAAGGTGCTCTGTTTCTCACGGTGGGGATGGGGACAGCAAATCCAGCAGCCTGGGAGGGGAGAGGCTGCACATGCATTCCTGTGCATGCAGAGCATGCCTGTAACGTGGCCAGGTATGCAGGTTAATGCAGACACATGGAGCTCTCACACGAGTGCCCACATCACCAGTAGCCTCATCTCACTCCCCTGAGGGTGGAGATCTGCTGGTGTGAAACATGCTCACGTGTGTATGTACCCACTGACACTGGTGCCTGCACTGCTCAGGCGCAGCCCTCCCACCCCGGTCTGACTCCAGCTGCTGCACTCATATCCCTGTATGCACACAGACATACAATGAATAGGGAGTCCCTCACCCAGGAAAGAGTTAAAAAGGCATTTAATAAGAAATGGGACAGACTGCTGATAAAGTGTGTGGCAAGGCTGGACAAGCACACCGACCAGCAGTGTGTTTACATGCAACTGATTCTGTTTACCCTCTTAGGTCTCTCTATTCTCGTGCTTGCTCCTACCAGACATCCATCCCTTTCCCTGCCTTTGGTCCCCTAATAAGGCTTGTGCAATCCTGACGTGTGCTACCCCTGCATCCCGTAATGTGTCCCCCACCCTGGGCAGGACACGCCTTGGTCGTGTTGACTCATCTTGATGGGTTTCGTACCTGGACAGGAGGGCTGAGGCTGACCTGAGGCAGCCCTGGGGCTGTGGGATGGTTTGGACAGGTTGTCCCTTCTTCCAAGTCCATAATTTAGGCTCCCCACTGCCCCTGTGTCTCTGTGGTCCTTTGGCAGGTGGGCCTTGAATGGGCTGATGGCTCCTGTGAGGGGCCTGGGAGCAGCTGGGGAGGGTGTTACTTGGGCTCCTTTGTGTGTGTGCAGGTGAGCTCTTTGTCACAGAAACTAACTCTACTTATTCTCCTGAGAGAGAAAACATGCTACAGAGACTGAATTCAAGAGCACTGTTTTTGCACATTTGAAATATGTCATGTCAATGGGATGAGGTGGAGAAACTAGCACTGGTCTTGTGCATCAGAAGTTGTTGTGTGCATAAGTAGAGTATTCAAATCTCCAGACATCGCTTTTACAAGAAGGGGATTCCTTCACAGATGATAAATTAAAAACTATGAGGATTTGTCACAGATGTTAAATGGACTTTATTTTCATGTGCAGTGTGGGATGAAGGAGCATTTACGAAAGGTTGCTCTATCTCCAACTTCAAGTTGTCTGTGTACTGCATCTTTCTCAAGCTTGCAAACTGAGGTGCAGGCAATTCTGATGTCCTTTTATTTCCTAGAGGTTAGTGAATGTGTGCATAACTCAAGCCTATGTTGTTTTATTCTGTCTGATGTTCACTGACTTATGAAGCACTGCTTATTTTGATGACTCTTGCATGTATTACCATTAGCAAAATCAGACTTCAGAATAATGCCTAATCAAGAAGAAACAATAGTAAAGGTAATTAATTTGTCAGTTCGTAAAGGTAATTCATTTGCCAGTTTGTAGCATATCTCTTCCTTTCTGGCTGTTTACAGAACAGATTTTTTGCTTTTAAAAAGAAGGAGTGGGGGATGGAGAAGGATGAAAGTGCAATAAACACAAGTCACTTGCTGTCGTAGAGGGCACGTGCCCTGAGAATTCCGCTGGATTAGGCAGTAGCTTATTTGCAGCTTGAGAAACTGGAACATGCCTGTCTGAACCAGCTGCTGTTACATTAACACTCTGCCAGAGCCAAACTCAGAAATTCGTCCCCCTTCTGTCTTAGTGAGGGGGAGGTAAAATTCACAGTATGTTGACCATGTTGTTGTCGGCATGATGCTGAGTGAGGTTTTGCATGCAGAAAGATGCGTTTGCAGGGTCTGTAGCTGATGGTATATGTGGAACTCAGAGTTATAGAGTCGAAAAAAACAAAGGAGAGAGAAAGGAAAAAAGGATTAAAAAACCCCCAACAAACTCCTTTACCCCTGGGGAAGAGCAGCAGTGTGGTCCCCAGCCAAGCCTCTTCCTTGGGCACGCTTTCCAGCGCAGTGGGTTGCTGACAGTGGTGATGATTTTTTCACCGCATTTTCCTCTAGAGTGATGCAGTTTTCATCAGGATCCACTCAAACCCACTCTTGCTTGTTCCTGTTCACCGTGGGACCGAAGCACGCTTGGGGTGGTATGATGCCTTCTGCATGCCTGTTACCTGCCTTGTTACTCACTAGGGCTTCTTCATCTAACATAAACCCAAAGTTACAAAGGTTATGAAGAGAGTGGGCGAGAAGTGGTGATCTTGCCCTGATGGCAGTCACTTCCATGAGAAACCCAGCTTGACAGCACTCCTGGGGTTTGCACAGGATCCTTGGCACAGCCACGAAAGCGGAAGACACTGCCCTGGCAGCTCCAGGAAAAGCTGCTTGCCACAGCAGCCTGGGGCTTACTGGCGGAGTGGTGGAGCTGTGAGGGAAAGGCAGGCTGCAGAACTGCAAACGGAAGATCTCTGGCATCACAAAGGCACTAATGGGACTGTGTAACTATTAAAAGTATATAAAAGATGTACAACACTTGCACCTTTAGGAAATACTCCTTTTGGAGCTTATGATGGCTACTGATGAACTCCGTTTCTGTAACAAATGTTTTGTTAGGTCTTGCAGCACTGCGCCTTGGTTAAGTACTGAAAAAGGGCATTCGGTTTGCTAGCAGTAGCTTATACCTGGTTTTTATTTCAACTAGTACTTTGGCATTTCCTCTCCTGGCTAAAATCCAAATACATGTATCTGTTACCATACTAAAAATGCTTCAGGGATCAGAATTGATTTTGACTTAACTGAAATGGACTGGTTAGTGAAAGACAAGAAAACTCACGTAGCCTGTTGAGCTGGTATAACAAAAGCAGTTTAAATTAATTTCTTCCAGTAGAACTTGGACTGCCTGCACCACGAGTTTGTCCTTAGGACTTAGGTTAACACCCTATTTTTTCCTACTGACTTCTCAATTGTAAGCACAAATAATAGAACTAAGAAAATAATCAAAAGGTACAAGCCGTTTTACAAAAAAAAAAAAGTTTGAGAAGAATGTGGACTAAGTTAACAACTGCTCATTGTTCATGTTTTGTCCAGGTCACAGTGCATCAACCAGATGAAAGAATTGAAAGAACAATGTGAAGAAAGGATAGACGAGATTACAAAAAAGGGTAGTGATGTACCACAAATCAAAGAAAACAAAGAGTTCTTGGAAGACTCAAGAAAAAATAGCCAGGTATGGTTTGGGTAATTTCTTAAATTTCTTTTTCATTGTAATTCTTAAGGCGTTTTCTATCTTTCTGCTGTTTCCAACTAAGGTTAGCCCATTTCATTAAGTTTTGCACTGCTTTCCTTCACATTTGTTGAATGTTTCTGATCTATGGGAAATGGAGTGGTTTGAAGGACAGGACAGGGCAGAGGTTCTGCAGGAGACTCCAAATCGCTGTGTTTCTGAGACGGGCAGACTTTGAGGGGTGGTGCTGGGAGTGGTGTGGAGCTCATTACAGAATACTTACACTGCTGAGCTTTGTTTCACAACTCCTTTTGACTTTGTCAAAGGACTTAGTTGCTTTGTGTGTTGAAAATGGGTGTTGAGGGTAAATTGTGAATCACTTCAGAGTACCAGCAAGCTTTGAATATGATACTGTAGTCCAAGGGTCTTTGAGGTCCATCAGATACGAATTTTCACAGAAATCCTAATTTCAGACTTTTACAGTGGGAATGAGTGGAAAATCAAGTGTTTTAGCTGTTTGCTTTTGTTGTGTTGGCATGTGAATTATTGATGCTTCTTCAGTGAAGTGGTATTTGGTCAGGGATAGGACTTGATTGGTTAAGCTTGATATAGATGGCCCTGGAAACACACAACAAAGCTCCTGGGTGAGAGGCAAGTAATTTATTTCTATGTACCGAAGTAGCCCTTTCTTCAGGCCTAGGAGCACCAGTGACAGAAGTTAATTTTTTGCGTGCGACTGCAGTGGGCCCTTTCTCCCATATGTGGGTGGCCAGCTTTCACTGCAGAGGCAGTGGGGGTTTGGTGGTGTACGCCCAGATTTGTCGGTTGCAGCAGATTTTAATTTACATTACTCGTGCCATATGCTTTGTTTGGTTGGTTGGTTGGTTTTTTTACCATTTTCAGTTTGGAAGGGCAATCATCCCAGATGGAACCAGAGGAGTTTGGCTGAAGCCCTTCTGCAGGACAACTTCAGTCTCCTGCAACAAGTCCCATAGCTGGAGGCAATCTTTACTCAAAGCGGGCAGCAGGATAGGCAGGGCAGGTTATCTATTCTTTTAATCTATAGATGGGATGGTCCCAGATGAGATAACCTCTATCATAGCTACAGCCTAAATGAATCTTGTCTGCTTGTGTTCCCTAGTGTCTGTGACAGTGTTCCTTATATCAAGCTGTAACCTTCTCAGTTGTTTGTTTGCCTCAAGGATAGCAACTCTTTGCTTGTACAAAAGCTGAGTTGTTTATCATTAGTGCAAGGTGACCGTGAGGAAATCCATTTAGCCAGTGGTTTTAGCCAGTGTTTTTGGCTGGAATAATTCCTGTTTGAAAAATGCTGTACATGCTGATGTAATGGACAGGTCAGAGTTAAAATAAAACAGAGAAAGAAAATGGAGTGTTGGTTGGTTAAATACACAGCTTTTTTTACAGCTCTGTATTTTAAGGAATGATGTACTTCTCAGTTGAGGAATACACAACATGTTCCAATTATTATCTTTTTATTCAACCACTTCAACTTAAAAAATTGTCAGCCTACACCCCTTTAATTTATTTGACACAGTCATTAAAAATTACTGAGCTAGAAATCTAAGATAATACAAGTTAAGGACTTTTGCACGTTTAATTAAGAAGTGATTTCTTGCTATTAAGTGCAGGCTCAGTATTTTTACAGAAGAATTCATGCCCAGCATAAAGTGAAAAATGGTCTTACATTTAGTTTCTGATGACTTCTGCTGTAGAGAATGATGTCACGAGGATGAATTATTTATGAAACCAGCATTTTCAAATACAGCATTTTCGTTTTAATGACGGAAGGAAGATAGAGTTCTGAATATCCTTACTGCAGTAACCAAATATTCTGTGGTAATACTTGCTTCTCAAGCTTTCCTAAGAGTTAATGTGAGATGATTTGTTGTTGATGTTGGACTTCACGGTGTTGACCCAACAAGGTCTGTAGTTCTGCCTGGCTTTGACCGAGCTTAAACATTTTCAAAACAGCCAAGTAGTCATATCCTACAAATCCTCTACAGCTTTGGCTTCGTGGTTATTTAACCACTTCTCTCTGCAGACGTTTTTCCAAATGACTGTGTGAACACATGACAACCTAGCATTTTACTGACCTGCTTAGGACAACAGGTAGCTACAGTCTCATAGCAACTGTAACAGAAAACTTTCTGTTGACTGTATGACTTTCTGTACCTCAAGGTTTCCTATTCATTTGTATGGTACCAAGTATAAAAAGGTTCATGTCTCCGAATGTCTCTATGCTTCTTCTTTCTCTGTGTCTTCTGATTTTTTTCAAACAAAACAAAAACCCAACAAAAAATCCCCATAGAACAAACGATTTGATTATGGTCATGTTTCTGTGCCGAAGCTGGTACAGGGCAGCACGGGCTCCAGGCACATTTCATGTTCAGCTTTTGTGTGAACTGAAGTCACGTAGCTCTCAGCCAGTCAAATGCTAATATGAGTAGAAGTTGTACATAGAATTTCAGTTGCAAAATGGAAGATTTTCAAGGTGCTGTATGTCTTAGCCATTAATCTTTAGGCAGGTTGGATGAGTTAAATGCTGAGAGCAGCCTAGTACCAGTATCATATAATACCAGTATAATTTAATACGTTCCTAAGTAAGCTCCATCATGTTAAACAGATAGTGTTGCCTAGTTGGTTGATTTGTGCTTTTTCTTCTCTTAATCCTGCATTCAACATAGTTTTAGACCAGTTCTGTACTGGCTTGTTTAATTGAAGTCGTATGCCCAAACTCAGTTTACCTGTCCCTGTAGGTTACTAACAGCAGTTAATGCCATCTGGTTTTTTTGCTCTGTTGACCCTGACAGGGTAGCAGTCAAGGAGAAATGTGTGGTGTTACAGTTCTGTGACCCCCCCAGAGAACAACAGGTAGCGTTTCTTGTGAAACACTAACCAAGAAGAGTAACCTCAGAGTTAGTTGCACTTAGATTAAAGAAGGTGTCTTAAATTCTCCCAATGTGTTGTGCTGTTACATTGAAAAATCACTGAGTGTTCAAGATAGAATGGTACTTCCATCATCGATAAAAAATTTCAGTCCAGATATTTCCAAGTGTGTTAGGATTTTTTTCCCCCCTACCGAATTCTTAATCTAACTTCCACTTCCCTTTCCAACACTTATCTGTGTACATTCGTTTTATAGGTTAATACTCAACTGCCAGCCTTGAAGCAAGCCGAGTTCAAGCAGCCTGACTTGGAACAGCAGGAACAAAATGGAGACGTGCCTAAAGCAGCACCTACAGTAAAAAAGACAGACCTGCTGCAGGCTAAAGGTGAGCTGGAAATCACTGGCCTACTAGCAACTGGCTAAAGAGCGTTTGTAATTTCATTGAACATTGAAAAAACATTTTTGTACACAAGGTAAAATGGAGAAAGTGACACCAACAGACTGAACTATCATCAATTTTCCAGCTATGGAGAGGTATAATAGCTATTCCAAGCATTTTTGTTACTAGCATTTCTGCTGGTTCAGTTTGTTGTAACTGACATGTTGCATGTAAAGAAAAATACAAATATTTACAATTCTGGAGTCCCATTCCTCATTTAATATGGAGGAAAATATCCTGATTTTGGAAGCAATGATTTTCAAGCATATTTAAAATTTGCTTTTTTAGTAAGTTTTGACACATCTAGCCTGCCACACCACCCTACGGAATGGCTGAAAGTTGGGCTTTACACAAACACACATCCGTGCTTGCCACATGTTATCACTGATCAAAATACAAGTAAAGGAAATCAGATTAATTAACCTAATGGTTGCTTTTGACATTAAACTCTCAGAAACTATTAATGTGAATAGATGTATCCTAGAGCGTCAGTCTCTCATAGTATTGTGTGTGATAGAAATTCAATTTCCTATTTAATTATTCTTATGTGCTATCTTAAATTACAATCTTAGGAGTATGCAACTCTCATTTTAAAGAGATAGCAACTGAAGACAACATCTATATATAGTTTATTCAGGCAGATTTTATTGTAATTCTTTAGTTAAAAATACAGATACAGAGGGAAAAAAGATACAGTAATGCCTGCTAAAACTAATAGCCCTCCTGCACTTCCTCTTCATATTTAAAAATAAGAACAGCCTTGATTTACTTGCAAATCTGCCCATGTGACTGCTTTGTCCTGAGCTACTTTTAAAAACCAGATCAGTTTTATTGTTAATGAAATGTAACACAGAAAACTGTTGCTTATGTAGCGTAATGCAATTTTTACTTAACCTGCTGTTTCACTTGCCCAATTTATTAACTGCACATACCAAAATTTTAAGTAGGTAGAAGCATGAATCTGTTGACACTGCCACAATAGACTCTGCAAGTCTCAGCCTTTAGGCTGTTCCCAGTAGAAAAAACATGGGTTGTCTTCTTTGTCTTTCTCTTTGGAACTGATGCGGTTCCTCTTTCAGAGGAAAAACAAGAATTGGATGAGAAAGACAAAGCAGTATTTACTAAAGGTTTTTAACTTTTGCCACCACTAAAAGGCATTAGGTTTTTTACTCAGAATCATTTGTATTGTTTACAGAAGGAGTGAATGGCCTAGCTGACATCAGAAAACAGGAGCCTAAGACAGAAGAAGAGGAGAAGCTTTCTGATGAACCGAAAACCACACAGGACTTGCTCAAGGCTGCTGAAGGACATAAGGAGTCAGAGAAGGATCTGAATCCATCTGAAGATGAAAAACATGTAGCGGGGCAAGATGCATTACAGCTGGCAGTAGAGCAGGCTGCCAGCGAGGAAATTGAGAGGGAGCAGCTCCTAAATTACGATACCAAGCAGGACGACGTGCCCCCTGCCAAGGCTGGTTGGTAGCATGTCACATACTGTTAAGAACATTAAAGAAATGGAAGTGTGGAACAGGGCATGATTTCTACAGCAGAGGCGGCAGCTGGCCAGGCTTCATGTGAAGTTTTTTAAAGGTTAGAGCGAGATGTGAAAGGTTGGTCAGGCCCCAGCAGTCTTCTACAGCCAGTGGGTAATGGTGGAGGCTTCTCTTGCTGCAACATGGAGCTACCAGGCTGGGTTCTTCTGCCATCACCATCGCAGCCTTCCCGTCTCTCTCTCCATTGGCTGTACAAGGCATTTGGGGAAATTAGCCCTAGAACTTTTTTGAATTGAGGCTTTGTAAGAATATGATGCATTTGAAAGGCATGAGATGTCAACCATCCAAAGCATTGATGAATAGAGGTACTGCCTACATATTGATGTTTTGCAGATAGCCTCTTTATAGTGTCAGTGTGTAAATGCTAGCTGTCCCTATTTTGAAATAAGCTAGCATGAATAAGACTCGACCTAAGACTTCAGATACCTGAAGTTTATTATTGTGAGTCTGCAAAACCACAGACCAGATGTTACGAAGGTGCCCATTTGTGGCATCTACCGCATCTGACCCTGAACCATGCATCTCCACAGCACCAAGCAGCGGGGTATTGATGTTGTGCCTACACCCAACCAGAACCTAGACATCCTGCTGTCCGTCTTGGGGAACTCAGGTCTGCCTGAGACCCAGTAGCCCAGACAGAGTCACCAAGAGGATGCCTTATGGCAGTCAGAGCAGGAAATGATGCCTGCAAAAAATGCTCTTTATGGTTTTCTAGTCAACATGTTTACAGAATCAGGAGTGATGATGCTAACACCATTGGTAACTTGGCAGGGATAAATAATCTCACCTGCGTTGCTAAAGTAGTATTTTTCCAACTGCTCCAGAAAGATGGTGGCCAGAGCAGGCTGTCCACAAGGAGACGTGAATACTTAAGTTACCTAACCTGCTTCTGTTTTAATGGATATAAATAGCAGAAAGATGAGGTAAAAAAACCCCATCCAACAATTAGTGCAAGAAAAACCTCTGCCATGTAGCCTGTGAAAGGTCAGTGTTTGTGAGCTACAAAGACTAGCAGGACATTGTTCAGGCTTGATTGTTCAACAAAAATACCACACCTACTGCACAGGTTCCTTGTAGCCAAAGGAACCCAAGGTAGAAAAAGATTCCTTCTACATTCTCTGAGTACCCTCTCTCTTTCAAAAAAAGCTGCTTTTAGAAGTTTGAGACCTTTAGGTCTGCAACTGTAAAAATCCATTTGATGTGGTGGTCTGAACATGTCCCATGTAAGGCCAAAAATTTTCAAGCCTGTTTCTAAGCCAGTTTCTAATCGGAGGGCTTGGCTTGAGAACATTCAGAACCAGAGACTCCAATCTCTCTTAACTAGGGTATGCTTATGCCTCTATGCCATTATGTTTTTTTCAGCATGGTTAACTGAAAAATACGGATCGTAGTTTGGCCATCAGAAATAATGTGTCCAGTAACTTCTGAGCTCTCTATATATGAAGAAATCTTAAGATAGTAAATAAAAATTGCTTGACATGAACTAATGACCGAGTGAAGAAAATCTCTTGTGGAAAAGCACTTTTGTGTCAAGTTAGCACATCATGAAATACTTTTTTTTTTTTTTTTTTCTTTTAACGCTATATTCACATCTTTCTGCTTGGTGGACAAACTAAAACCAGAAGGGGTGAAGCTGAGATACATTTTAGCGGTGGTGATAATACATTTAGAAGCAACACCACAGTCAAGTTCTCGGCATTGGCTTCAAGTTTTACTGTTCCTTAGGCTGTCCTTTAGTGTATTCTGAAATAATTTACTGCTTTTCCTTTCTCTCCATCTAAGTGCTGACTGAATTTTATTACACTTTCCAAATCGCTAAGATTCTGTCCCTTATCTAGTTCTTTAGAAAAGGTTTACAGGAAAAGCTGCTCTGACATGTAGCAGTTCAAAAGGTAAAATAACATGAAAGCCTACTCTAAACAGCAATTCATTCAGCAGCAAAGTAAATTCTGTGGAAGATGGTTACAGTAACTGTTTCTTGTGCAGATGACCTTATGGTGTAGCATAAAACTAATTAATTTCAACATTCTTCCAGACAAGCAGGAACATGAAGCGCTGAACGAGGACAAGGATGTTGATTACAATTTAGATGAGAATGAAGCTGAATCAGAAACAGACAAGCAAGCAGCACTTGCAGGGATTGAAAATGGTAAAAATAGAAAAAACTAAGTCTTAACCCAAATACCACCTGCTGAAAATCGTAAGGTGGTATTTTGAATGGTATCCTGTAGCAGATACAGCTGTTTGTTTGTTCTTTGTGGCTTCCCCTCATGTTGAGTGTGACCTACTTTCTGTGTGGCATCACTGAAGGTACCGCTTAATGTGTGGTGGGGAGGGGGACAGTAGCTGTAGCTTACTATACCGTGGAGTCCTTTCCAAATTTCTTGTGCTGCGTTCTAGATTGTTTTCTAGATGACAAACTGTCACTTCTGCCTCTTTTAAGAGATCTCTGTACCTTTTTCTTTTTCCTAATTAGTTCAAAACCCTGAAGATATGAAGAACCACTTGTCTGAGCAAGGTGAAGAACAACAGAGGTTGTGAACAAAGGAGGTTCATGATGCAACTTGGTCACCTCTTCATATAAATACAGCAATGACAAGAGCAAAGTGATCTGAGAATGTTTTGATTATCTTAACGCTTCAGTAAGGGTGCAAATGAAGTTGTATTTTCTTGTGAAGTTTTAGTACTGTTTCAGTGGTGAAAAAAAAAAAAAGAAAATTAAATCTCTGGAGACTTGTTTTAAAGCAGCTTGACTTCTGCAATGACTCTCTCCTTCCCACCAGTTACAAAATTGAAACCAGTAATCAGTACGTGAGTAACTTTGAAGTCAGCTAACTTGTACGGCCATACTACAGTAACAGTATGTGTGGATTGGTGGTAGATGAGAAAGATCCATCCTTGGCAGAGCCCTCTTTCCCCTGAGGACTGCAGAGAAATTTCTTTTTCTAGTTTTAAGAGAGTCTTAACAGGCGCTAACTTACCTTGACAAAATGTGGGAAGGATGAAAAACGGTCCATGCTGCAGTCTACCCGGGTGCCCGTTCTGGCACCTTTTTACTACAGTCGTGTGCTAGGACTACCCTTTACTCCACCCAGCCACTGTTTTCTGCTAAAAAGTAGAAAGGCAAGTGCTTGTTCTGCAGAATAGCAATCACCTCAGCTGTTCAAAGCATCCAATCATCTTCTCTGACAGACTTTTGAAGATGGTAAACCAGACTATGCATTTACCAGACATCTTGATGTCTCACACAGGTGAAGCCTGTAACTGTTGTGAAGTCCTATGTTATGCACAGTGTGTCATGTTGTTAATGTTCTGTAGTCTTTCTTTTTTCTGCAACTTGTTGAATGTAAACTAGAAGCTAGTTTACTTGTGATAACCTAGAAGTACCCTCTACTACCACTGAGGCACCCTTAACTGCAATACCACCTGCACTGTGTGTAGCCAGCTGTTTTGAAGATTGTAGTTGTGTCTGTTCTCAGGACTGACACCTGTGTTTGGAGCAATCTTTGCGAGCATGAACCAACCTCTGTCGAGACAGCACAGGAGCAGACAGACATGACTAACTTCCTAACCAGCAGTTCCCTTTTAAGAAAATACAAATTTGTCTTGGCTGTCTTGTAACACATCTCATTTTGTAACGTTTCTGGTATGTCATGCCTCAGTGTACTGGCTTACAGCTCCTGTACCTTAAGATGCCTAAATATCCAAGTGGAAGGTTGGTTCTTTTGTGTGTGAAGAGAGCATTAGCTGTCATTGAGCGAAAGGCAGAGCTCAAGTCAAATGGTGCCTGTTAAGCCTAAATCTGTTAACAGTTCACTGACAGACTTGCCGTGACTAACTTGAGTTCTTCCAAGAAAAGCACTGACTTCTGTGACTTGAATTCCTGGTTACTCTGTTTTTTTCACCATTTAAGTTGGACTTTTAACTGGTCTGGGCTACTACAGTCAGTACAGCGCAAAAGCAAATGCTTGTAAGCAGGAAAGAAAAGGAGGTATGAGCATCTCTTCTAACTGACAGGTATTGGGAAACTTGGGCTATTAAGTTATTTTTTTGCAAATAATGGTGTGTTTTAACATCAAAATGATTACACATATTCTGAGTAAAAGGGGCATTTTCTGAGGACTTGCTCTGTAAACATACAGCTGAAATGAAGTTAATCAGGAATTTAATAGCGATTGTTAAAGAGCGTATATTCTAACAGTATAAAAGGTACAGTGAAACACTGTATTCAAGTTGAATGAATGGCTTTAACTTGAAACTGCCAAAATCCCAAACAAAATCCTTCAGGTAATTAATATATTGCCCAGGAATTCTCTTAAAACAAATTGTTTTGGCTGTATTTCTGTACAGTACCCAAAGCTGAGTGGGCTTCTCACTGGCCAGCTAAACAAGACCACCTTTGTACAAAGCACACTTGTTACACCTCCAACAGGAGGGGAGCTGAAAACCTGCGTAAGAGCAATATTCGAAAGCATAAAGGAATACAGTCTTAATTCTGAATGGCTTCAAGTGCTACGGGAATGTAACTAGAGTGGTAGATTTCCAGTAGGCAAGGGGTCTGTATGTCTGCTTTATGGAATTTTAAAATTAGAGGACTTTGAGTTGAACAAAACAAGAGATTCATTTGGAACTGTGGTTGATGTAGTATTGTCTATCACTAAAATTTTTAGTTGCTTCTTTGCTGTAATCATCTTGGGGTGAAATTAACACTTGTCCTTGGTGGTTTTTTTAAAAACTAAGCCTGATCCATTTTAGACAAGCATTTTAAATAAAATAGAAATAATATTCTGTACTGTGTATTCACCTTATTCTGTACAGTTAATCCACTTCAAATGTCAATGAAAATGGGTAAGATAATTCGTGTTTTCTTAGTTCTATAAATGATGTGGAGCTTGGTTTTTTTTTTTTTAACTTGCTGCTTCCCTTGGAGAACTACCAAAGGCTGTCCTTGAGCTGCTGTCATGCAGCTCAAGATTTTTAAGACAGGAAAGATTTTTGTGATTGTTTACAAGAGGGTAGCAAAAGCCAGATGAATTCTCAGTGCCCTGCAGTAGGCCCGGTTTGCCATCTTCTACAACTATGTTTTCCAGGATTTTCACTCCTTTGCCAAGGATACAGCATTCATGTATATTAATCATGAAGAGAAGGAAACACATAAAATGGTGAGCAACCTCCTTGGCTCAGAAATCAGGAAAAGCAGGTCTTCTGGGCAGTACTGCTTATTTCAAGAAGGTGCAAATTGCTGGCAGACAAGTGGCTGTTCCACTTCAGGGTTTCTTTGCTGTTCTCCAGCTCTAGCTCAGCAGTGCTGCTGCTGAGGTGATGGAGCCAAATTGCTCCACAGTACAACTCCGCTAGGAGAAACACAGACAAATGTTTTGCATGGTGAAGAGGGTGTTACAAGCTCATCACTATGGAGGAAGGCATTGTGTGCCAAAACGAAGAATGTCAACACCGTCAAACCTGGAGGATTTGCTTTTAGGGCCCAGGTAAGACTTAGAAGTATGGTTTACTGAAAAGCAAGTCAGCTTTTTCGATCTTTTTTCTTTCTTTCTTTTTTTTTTTTTTTTTTTTTTGAGGGAAGGGTGGGTTTTGAGCTTCTCCTGTTTGGGATTTCTACCTGTAGCAACCATTACAGAAGGCAGTAGGATCCAGCTGCAGCACTGCAGTCAAAAACAGAGAATGAAGGTCATGCAAGAGCTGACCGAGCAATGGAACAAATTGGCACTCCCACCTTTGCAAGGGCAAAGTAACAGCAGCATTGAAATAACATTGCAGAGTAGTTAAAATACATTCTTCCTGTCATGTGTTCCCCTGTGACTACTCAGCATTAGCTATGCAGATTCTCCAGTACCATGAAGAACCAAGGCAAAGGAACAAACTGCAACTAGAAATACATTTCTCACTGTATTCAAGGACTTCTACGTGAGACAAAATACCTTGACAACTGACTTAGGTAAAACCAAAAAAAAAAAAATCACTGAATTCAGCACAGTAGGAGCTAAATAACTAGCTTCATCTGCTCTTAATTTCTATAAATATTGTTTTAGCTTGCAGGACTTGGCAAGAAAAGAACCCAGTCTTTCTACTTGCAGAGTGAGCAAATTCAATGCAGCTTAGGCAAAACGATGGAAAAAAATCACAATCTCTCCAAGTGGCTTTGTTCAAAGCAGAATTTCAGTAGCTCAGGTGTACCTATCAGTACTGCATTATCTTTATTAAATCCCTAAGCCACCGTTTTCTGTCAGAGTTAATTCATAGAAATGTTTTATGATGAAATCTGTAACAAAATCAATTAAGGTACAAGGTTCTTCAACAACACAGTTGATTAAAATCAGCCTCACCCATAAAACTTCATACAAACCACTTTGAAATGGCAGTTGTAATTCAGATCACATAACAAAGGCAGACAATAGATATTCCATGTAACAGTACTTTTATCCTGGAGATCCCTCTCAGTCTGGGTACAGCACTAGATACTCCGTCCTACAGCTGGAGTCCAATACACATATTATGCTTCAGGTATCCTAACAATAATCTCTTGGCTTTCAAACAAGCTTCACAACTGGAAAGTATTTATGAGGTGAGAAGTCAAATTCTGGAGGAACCTAGAATGGAAAGGTTTAAAACATTACACAGCAGTACTACTGAATTTAATACTCAAAATGAAGGATAACCTGCAGAGAGAAGAAAAACTTCCAAACAGCAAAAGACTGAGGGTGTGTGGAAATAATCCTAGCTTTTCAAATCAGTATCTGAAAAATACTCCATCCCGGTTCTGGATATGCCAATCATTCTCCAGTAGTGATGGGCACAAAGCTGCAGAGTACTGGTGCACCTCTTCAGTGGGCTCCTCCATTCTTTTTGGCTAGCCTTCAGCAGAGGTCTGACAGCCTTCTCCTCCCTCTGACGCATGTGGCACCTGCTAATCCCGACAGCCAGCACCCTCCCGACTGCGTTCACACAAGCTGCTGATACGCTGCCACCAATTGCTTTTTCCTGCTCTGCAAGAATACTCGTGCATGCACTTCGCCAATTTTTTCCCAAACCATTTAGAAATTAGAGTTTTCTGTATGTAAATAGCTACAACAAACTATTTCCAAGGGAAAAATGGATTAAGTTACTTTCAAGTTCTTTTAAGAGTTAAGAGTAATAGCGACCTGAATCTGCTCATTCAGATGTGAGAGATCTGTGGTAGCACTGCGTATAATACTACATTTCACGTTCAATTCAACTGGCATTCTCTTACCTTTGAGTCTTTTTTGTGGCCTCCTGCCAGCAGCTTCATGACCACAATATTGGGCTTAGCAACTTTCAGAATTCGATTGACCTAAACACAAAACAACACGAAGTTTTCAAGTGAAAGTGTATGACCTCAAAATTACTTCAAAGATAATACTCAAATGTTTACATACTCTAACAGTACAGCAGTCCTCTTACGGTATCAGTTTAACAGAGATCAGGGCATTTTGGATTTGCTTTGAAGTGTAACAGCTGGATTAATGCAATTTAATGAAGGGGGTATTTACTCAGGCCAGTGCTGAGAAGACTGCTCCAGGAAAGAAGTGCCAGACTCAATCCTCTTTTCAGTCTGATGACATTCAAACCTGTTCTTCCCACCTGCCAGGAGCATGTGTGAATTACCAGGCTCCAGGAAAAGTGAGCCAGGCATGCACCACCTTCTTGTTGAAACTCATAGGCTTTTAGAACAGGGCCAGAAAGCAACATGCAAGAAGGAACTGAGTTGCTACCTAGCATCTACGATACTTAGCAGGGAGAGGTTGTGGAACACTGAGCCACAACCCTGATTAAGTTATCTAATGTATTGAAACAAACCACTGTGTAAGATGCCACCACCCTCCTCTGTCCACTCCTTCATGAAAGCACTCAGCTTTGCTCAGCAGTTTAGCAAAGGACACTTTGGATCTCAAGCAGATCCAGCCAAAACCAAACGCTTACTCTGTTATCAGCAAATGCTCCTTTTTCCAGTATTTCAGCCTTACCTCATAGTCTGGATTAGGAATATTCTCAAGAATCATTTTAGCTTGCTGGAAGTGTTTGCTAGCTGCCATGTAGAGATCCGATGACTGAGGAGGTGGACTATACTTATTCAAATCAGACATTTCCTAGTGTGTTACAGAAACATACAAACATGTATTAAAATCAGTTGCCAACAAATTGTATTTTTATCACCTGGAATAAAAATAAATTACTATGTTCAAGAAAGAGTCAACTAAATAATATTTTGAGAGTAAGTACTGAAGTTGAAAACACTTATTTAAAATGGCAAATACCAAGCAGCAATACGCTGCTTAATGATTATTTTACAGTGCCACAAAATGCAATTAACTTCTCATACTCTTTATAAAACAATCCCTCTCCTGAACAACTTGTCATTCATTTGCTTTAATAGTGCCATGCAGCAGGGTGTGAAATTACAGGAAAAAAAAAAGCGCGTATTATTTACTAAAAAAGGAGGGGGGAAAAAAGTGTACCATTATTTACTAAAATCAAGTTTACAGCAAGTGACATGCTGAAATTTTTCAAAACTTCATTTTATAGAATTTTTTTATATAATTTTGATACTTCCAACCTTTTTTTCCTCCAGATTAGGGATAAAAAAGGAGGAAGCCATGACAGTCTTAAGTTTCCACTACAACTGTTCATAACACTAGATTAGGGAGAGTGACTGGCATATGAACTAGTAGTTTCAGTCCAGAAAGACCTTTGGAACCTTAAAGTCTGGCCACCAGAAGTCTAAGTTCAACAAGAAATGTCCAAAATTCTGCACCTGCAGCAGAATAACCCGACAAATCAGTAGAGGCTAATAGCCAGCTGGATGAGCAGTGGGGTTACTGTGAACACCAAGTTGAATACAAGGCAACAAGTTGCTCTTACTACAGATCAGACAAGCCTCATACGGGACTACAAAAGCAGGAGCATGGCCAGCAGATCAAGGAAGGTTATCATCCTATACTCAGTAGTTGTGCTGGAACATCTGAAATACTGCATCCCGTGTTGGACCCCCATCAAGAAAAATGCTGAGATGAGGAGATGGCTGGGGGCCTGGAGCACATGACCCACAGGGAGAGGTGAATGGGCCCGGACTTTTTCAGTTAGACAAGGAGGACGTCAATGGGTAATCTTAATAGCAGCCTACAACTAGTTGAAAGGCAGTTACAAAATTGTCAACAGACACACGCTCCTTGTTAATGGCAGACAACATAACTTGGGGGAAGCAGCCACAAATTGTGGCTTGGGTAATTCAGACCAGACATAAGGAAAAAAGGTGAATAGTGTAGCCCTCGATCAGGTTATCCAAAGACTAGATGGACCAGAAAAAGCAATTGGATTAGGTTAACCAAAGAGTTTGCAAGATCTCCATACTTTGATTTTTTCAGACTTGGCTAGACAAAGCCACAGCTGATGTGATCTATAACGCTACTTCAGGGAGGAGGACAGGATAAGACCTCCATTGGTCCCTTCCAACCAACACTCCTGTGATTTAACACTCGAAATTACTTGTATTTCGTTTTCCTGTTGGCTTGCTGTAGTAATAAAAACATGCTGCTATATAAACCACAGCCAAAAAGTCTGTCAATAGACTTTCAAGAGATTTATTTCCATGCAAACCAACGCAAGCATCTCATAGAACACCACATCAGACCAATTTTTAAACATCTTAAGTCTAATTTTAGTAAGAATTCAAAACAATATATTTTCCTTGCACACAACTAAAGCTAGAACTCCTTGCCATTTTGACTTACACTTCAACATGAACTTTGAGATATTAAAGGCTCTTCTTACAATTACAACGTCTAAAGTAGGTGAGCAAATGACTTTTATAAAAGCATGAGTGGCACAAAGTTTTAATATTACTCACTTTAAACTGCAAGTAGTGCACTGGGGGTGGTGTGATGACACTGTTGAATGGAGCAAACCTGTGCTCATATCGAACTTGTTCACTATCCAGTTCAAACTTAGGTTTTCTTACTTTGCCGTCCATGTCAAATGCAATCATTGTCTAAAAAGGAAAGGATAAATACCATGAAAAGTGTTAGCTTTACACCACAGTTCGCTGTGAGCAAGACGAAAGTTATGATTTAGCTGTAACTGGAAGGACAGGAAAATAGTAGAGAAATCATGATGTCACATTATTAACCTGAACTTCATTTCCAGTCCCACTAAAAACAAAGAAGGCATGCAATGTATGCTTGATTCCCAGTACCAAAAGATTGAAGTGTTGTTCAAGCAAGCACAAATAAGTTACCTTGTACATCCCAGCACACATATTTTGGTACGCTTGACTCATGGTGATCTCTCTGCTAAGAGGGCGAACTGCAAATTTCACATAAAAATATTTTTTTTATTCAACGTAAGTACACCTTCATTTCAGATCAAACCAGTTCTTCCAAATCTTCAGAAAGTGCAAATTATCTCAATTATATTTTAAAATAACTAAAGAAAACTGAAGCATAAAATGCATGGACATGCATTTCTGCTCACCTGCCTCTTGATTACACAAAATATCTCAAGACATACTTTAACATGAACACCATTACTGCCTTCAATGAAATAAACTGGTCCATTTGTCAATGGTATTAGCATGTCACTATACAACACTGAACAGTGGTCTAGAACATAAAACTTTTAGTGAAGAGGCCTGTTTGCCTAGATAATGGATTTTTTAAACTTTTAAGACTAAAAGGTTAAAGCATTTTTATCCTAATAAGAAGGATTTTTATTCTGATAATATCCCTCTAAGCTCCCTTTTAGCTTCCAGTGTTTAACTAGTGCCAAATTGCCCCACACTTGGCACCTTTTAAAAAAGTATAAGATACAGTAGTAATTTTCTGAATTTCTAGAGACAAGGGAATTTAGTTGGTTATGACCTCAAGCCATTCATATCTAATTCTTTGTTCCTCTTGAAAAGACGACAAGGATAAACACACGAAAAAAGAAGGAATAGCAAAGAATGAAAGCGAGCTTCTGCATGGTGTTTATTTGCAATGTTAGTAACTCCAACATACCACAACCTTAGTAAGACACTGAGGTATCAAATGCTATTAAGACACTGATTTTGGATGCCTTTTTGATAGCAGGCTTACAGGTCTGCCCACAGAGCCAGACTGCTATGACAGAGGAGGGGAAATTCTCCTTTTCTCTCATGCATATACACCACAGAAAGCATGAGTTTCAAAAGGTGCTTTTGCGGAACAGTACTACCACTGAATTGAAACGGGGCAACTCACATTGTAAACTTAAGGAACATGCTTGTACATCTTGTGAAGCCAAAGAGAAATTACAGAAATACACTGAAAGTTTAGTCTTTGAATCTAGCTACAGTGACAAAAAAGGTAATTCTCCAGGAATTATCGGCTGTAGAAAGGCAGTATTTTTCAAAGGTAATTGCTCCGGACCTGTTAATTACATCTCACAGGATCCAACACATAACACAATTGGTGAAGCTGTGAATATAAATGAGTTTGTTTTTTTCTGAAAGACCTATTTAAAAGTAAGTAAATAAATAAAGGGGAAATTCTTACGCAGCGACTAACTTTTTTAGTTAAAAGTTTTACATTCAGCTTGGAGGGGAAAAAAAAAGTCTGAGTTAAATTCTACACCTAGATACCTTTTTTCTTTTTCTTTGTTTTCTTACTACTACGGCCTTTCTGTTGTTCCTCCATTATTCTCTCCTCTGCCATTTGAGAACTGTCAGCGCGGCTCAGTGTTGACATCAACCAGGCATAGAGGAACTCTGACAGATACCTACAGTAAAAACAGTATGCAGCTGTTACATACTACAGTGCAAAACAGATTCGTAATGCATACATCCTCAGTGAATGCCAAGTTGCTTTCTCAAAGAACTAATAGTAAAGCACAAAACTTTTAAGGCAGTTAAAACTCTTTGTTTTGCATGGCTGGAATCAACAGATCAGTCTGTGTTTTTGTTTTGGAATTTTTTTAAACAAGACTCTGTACAGATTCAACCACAGACAGCTTAAGGTATGCAAGTTTCTTATACGTCTAAGTGAAGTCTAAGCTTCTTATGATTTCAAAACCAATAAAAGATCAAATATTTCTATAATTCCTTCCCTGAGCAAATGAAACATATTTAAAACAGATATTATATTAATACCTTTTCTACTTTTGTTTGGAATTATTGTTTTGAGAAACAAGGTTACTACTGCTTTTTTTCAAGCATTAAAAAGCCGTGAATTATTAAATAAAAGGGCCAAGCCCACAGGAACAAAAGATCCATGTGAAATTCTTTAAGATGTATGAGAAATCTTTAAGAATTCTGTAAGAGCAATTTCTTAGTAAGCAGAAGCAGGTCCAATAAAACTCTAGACTGACTTCAAATCACAAGGAATAGGGAAAAAAAAAAAAAGGTAGAAATTACAGATCTGGAGCACATAAAGAAGAAATAATACTTCATAAGAAGTCATAATTCAGAAGAAAAATTACTGAGAAATAATTTGAGTTTCATTTGCACATTTTCCCATCAGAAATTCCCTCTCTTTTTTGTTCTTCACTTGTAAGTAAGAAGATAAAGCAGTTGACATCACAGTTCCAATTAAGAGTGATTTTATTAAAATTGTTGGGGGGGAATATGGGCAGGTAAAAAAATACTGTCTTACAGAAAACTTGGTATTACTTACTGAGGTGTTACTTAAAGAATATTGCCATCTTCTGGTAACTACCTGGAGTATTAATTTTCTCAATGCTTAATCCACTAATGAAACAGCATGGAAACATAATAAGATGCACTGAAGTTCAAGTAATGTGAATCGGTCTAATCTCTCAGAAAGACTGTTTACAGCTTGCTTACTTAAGAGTTTTTTGGTAGCTTCACAGGAAAAAAAAACCAAACCACCAAACCAAAACCAACCCAAACCACCAAAGTACACAAGCACTTTAACATAGGAAGGTTCCACATCAAATTTTCAATGCTGAATCAAAAATGAACCATCTAGAATCATTTATCTTTTGGACCAAGCCATCAACTATGAAAAATAATTTAATGTGAATGGATGTGGAAAAATAAAAAGTATTTTGACTCCAGACAGTGCAATCATTTTCACTGAAGGCAGATGTCTATTCAAATATGCTCACAGAATAAGATGTTATTTTCACCTAGTCAACTTTCAGATCACAGTCACAACATACAAACTCTTAAAAAAACCCTTAGAGATCAACAAGACTATTGATCTTGGTACTACAAGCACAGAAAATTAAAAAGGAAATTGCTTTTCTCCTACATTCTCTTGTCTGCCAAAATTGGCAGCATATTTTTCATTCACTGTCATTAGAAGACACTGTTTTAAAAAGCTAAATAGAAAGCTAATTATTATCTAAAAAAACCCCCAAGAAGTACACTATTCAGTAAGTCTGGATAGAAAAGGGACTAACAGATTTTTTTTTTTTCTTCACTGGTAATTTTACGTATAGGTAAACTAAACACTGTGTTGAGCAAGCTTGAGACTAAAAAAACATAGTTGAAGTCCCTCCTTTAAATATGTGCAATTATAGCTCTGTGGGGGCATCCCTCCTCCAACAGCTGTCAATAAAGCATCCTCTTACCAATATATGTAGTAATATTCATGCATACTGTAAAGTTCCAACTCAAAGCCACTCAGGAGATACTGTATCATAATACGAAGGTTATGATATAGGACCCAGGTGCCCAAGCAAGCCAAATGTTGCCTTTGTGGTTCCTGCTTCAGTAACATACTATGAAGTGCTGCATCTACTTTCTCTGCCTATTGAAAAAAGAGAGCAAAGAAAAAGACAGAGGTGGAAGAATATTTGACTGAAACAGCATCCAAGGTCTGCCAGAAACAAAATCTGAATACCAACTGGGTCAGTAAAGCCATGCTCCAGATTAAAAGACATAAATATGTTTTTAGAGATACTGCCATCTTTATAGTCTAGAACCATCAGAAAACTGGAAAGTTATTCACATAACTAAATTCTGATGCACAGAGGAAAAAAAGATATTCTATAAAGTAACAAGCAATAATATTTGGGTTTTTTAAATTTAAAATTTTAAAAAGTATTTATACATAGATTGTTAGCAGTCATGTGAGCACTGAAACTCAGAACCCATTAGAAGCTCTTACTAATTTTGCTATATTGGTAATAATTACTTTTTAAAAAAAAACAAAACAAAAAACCAAAAAAAACAACAAACCTAGCTGCATTGAAAACATGCAAGAAACACTCTGTGGCCCACCAGAGAAACTAAAATATTGCTAAGAGCAATTCAGTCATAAAAAGTAATCATATGGAAGACATGAAGTCTCCCACACTTGGAATATTATTGGTAGTCCTGAACAAATCAATCCATATAACGAATTACGAAGTGAAATAACAGTGTGTCTCAGCTGCAGTACTACAACAAACCCTCAACCAAACCATCTCAAGAGAAGCTGGAGCACACAAAATCTCCTCCCAACTCCAAGCTCCTCAACCATTCTCCTTAGCATGCACATCTTGGAAAATATTTTATTATTTCATGCCTCACACTGCTGAAGAAATACATTATCAGCAAGTGAAAAATGTACCTTTCCTTGTCATCTTTCACTCCCCATTCTTGAGAAATATTCAAAACCAGTTGGAACACATTTTTAAGAGTTACTATTTAATTTACATACATTTTCTAAAACAGATATAAAATTTCGCAATTTACTTCTTACATAGCTATACGACTGAATTTTCAGAAGTGTCTTGTAAATACGGCTCATCTATCTCTCCCTGGTTACATCTTGCAGACTGACAGTTACAAATAGGATAGAGACCACAAGCAGTAGAATTACCAATAAGTTACAGACATCGCAGCTGGTTTCCCTGAAGTCTACTTATTGGACAAAGCTAATCTTAAACCTCAATCAACAGATCTAACAGAAAGTCTTGGGATCTATCCTGCAAACTTCCTGGGCTGCATTTTAGGAATCCTCATCCTAAAGATTTTAGGACAAACAGAGGAGTTCCTTTGTTCATCTAGAATCTAATACCACATGCTCTGCTCTGGTAGGAATATACCTGGAAAGAAAAGTTTACTGGCCTGCTGCGTATGACATTACCTCATCCTGGAGGGTGGCAAATTCCTCAAGAATGTGACCCAGTTTATCTCTCTGACGAGCTCTATTGTGTCCATGGATTTGAATCAGGCTACAGAATGGCTGAAAGAAACGAAGTGTAAGTTTAAATTTTCAACACAACTTTGAAACTACAGAAGGAGTGTTATAATACCTATTTAGGCACCTGATTAATACATCTGTATTAGGAGGTGGGCTCCTTAAGGCTCCCTACAGAGTGCAGGCTAGCAGGCAAGCAAGCTCTCTGGAATGATGCAAGAACCCATTTCTCTATACACAAGTCAACATGAGATTGAGTGAGCATCCTTTAGGAATCTGATCAGAACAGAATGCTTGAGGCAAGAGAGATTTCTTATGCCTAAATCCACATGCCCAGGTGGCCAAGAAACCCAACAGCATCCTGGCTTGTATCAGAATAGTGTGGCCAGCAGGACCAGGGCAGTGATCATCCCCCTGTGCTCAGCACTGGTGAAGTCACACCTCGAATACCATGTTCAGTTCTGGGCCCCTCACTACATGAAGGACATTGAGGTGCTGGAGCACGTCCAGAGAAGGGCAACAAAGCTGGTGAGGGATCTGGAGCACAAGTCTGATAAGGAGCAGCTGAGGGAACTGGGGTTGGTTAGCCTGGAGAAGATGAGGCTGAGGGGAAACCTTATTGCCCTCTATAGCTACCTGAAAGGAGGCTATAGCCAGGTGGGTGTTGGTCTCTTCTCCCAGGTAACGGGTGATAGGATGAAGGGAAATGGCCTGAAGTTGTGCCAGGGGAGGTTTAGATTGGACATTAGGAAAAATTCTTCCCCAAAAGGTTTGTCAAGCACTGGAATGAGCTGCCCAGGGACGTGATGGAGTCCCCATCCCTGGAAGTATTTAAAAGATGGGTAGATGTGGTGCTTAGGGACATGGTTTAGTGGTGGACTTGGCAGTGCTAGCTTAATGGTTGGACTCAATGATCTTAAGGGTCTTTTCCAACCGAAATAATTCTACAATTTTCTTAGATTTTTATTGTGCCACATTCAATAGCTCTTAATTTTTTTTTAAACTTTTAAACTGTAGAGAATGTAAAAATAATTTTGGTTTTACTTGTGCTATGCATTTGTTTTGTGACATTAAACTACCCTGTAAAGAGGTAGTAGGTGCAGATTTCTAATAAAGTGAAATGTTAGTGAAAAATCTGGAAGCAGAATACAGGAAACAAACAGCAATAATTCTATTGGCTTTTTAAAGTGTTACCATTTTAAGATGGCTAACCTGCAATTCTGCCTTCATTTCAGGTATCTAAAAAAACTGGTCTCATTTTCAAATGTAAGCAAATTTTGAAAATGCTCATATACACACAAACATGCTGTAATTGGAATGGACACTTACCCGAACACAATGTGTCACAAAGGAATCAATGTAGTCCTTTGCCTGGTGATTATTATAAAGACAACACCTAAAAGGGAAATATCCATGTACATACATATGTTTATAAATGTCACCAGTCTATGTATCACAGAATTAAAGAAACGAGTGCAGCAGCAGCAACTGATTCCTTCATACACAAGCACTAATAAGTACAATATGCGTATGTTCTTTATATGCCTGTCCTTGCTTTTGTAAGCAGAAACATTTTTTCATCAGACATGTGAACACATGCAAGTAAATTTGAGATCCACTTACTTTGGCGAAAGCACTGGAGGACTGACAAAAGACCTTAAAGCATCTTTTACCATGTCTTGCATGAGGTGAGTGCCAAATACCTTCTTGTTATCTACCAGAAAAGTTGTCTGAAATTGAAAATGTATTTTTAGAAACATGTTTTAAGTTAGAATTAAAGCTTTAGAAATACCAGTAGAAAGCTCTTACAGTACCTATATTATATCAGAAACTTACAAGATGGCTTTAAGAATTAAAATGGTTCAGCTAGGTACAAGGTTACTGACTCAGAGGCATATTGAGATCTGACACTTCTATCATTCCCATGACACAAAATACAGCTCTATTACTTGCATAAGACAATGCATGCAAAATTATTTTATTTCATTGACTTTAAAGATGATTAATCAGACTGATGTTTCTGAAGATTAACATAAAACAGGTTATGCGGTTTCCCTGGTGGCAGGTAAATCTTCAGACTAATGGAGATTTTTTTCTACTCCTACAGATACTTCTGCTTTCATTGGTCATGCCTGATGTTCACTCCACTTTCCTCCACGAGCGCTGTGTCCCTTTCTTACATGGTTCTTCAGCAGCTGGAGGAAATGCTCTGCTGTCAGGCACCCACAGGGATTGCACAAACACATGTGGTGGGAAGTCAGAACACACACACACTATGAAAACATTTTACTTGCCAACAGTTATATTCCGTTGGCTCTATACGTGGTTTAGTTGGGATCAAATGGAAAGAAGTTCTGGCATCTGGGGATACTCTATTTGAATCAAAACCTCCGATAAGGAAGTTTATTATACTCTGAGCTAAAGAATATATAACATGTTTTCAAGGTAAGTGAAGCAGTGAGAAGAAATGTAGTAGCCTGTTCTGCCCTAGCCATCGGTTTTACTGTTGTAGCAATAGAAGCAGTCTATACATGAAGTTCAGTCCAAAGAGGGAGGATGAATACAAACACCAGCCCCAAACTGAGACAGCATAAAACCACACATACAGGCCCAGCTTTATGGCAAAGAAAAAATTTTAACACTTTGTGTTTTAATTAGCATGCGCTATATGATCTAAGCAACAGTATTTAAAAATGTTTTAAAAAATCAGATCAGAACATAAGTCTCCACATACCTAATACTCAAGTATCTCCAGAATTTTTTTTACCATTTCAATAGTATTAAGTGATATGCAAATAACTGAGATATTTGAAATGAGATAATTAATCCATATTTATAATGAATTCATAAGTATTTTATTCAAAGACAAAGATTAGGACTTGCCTGTAAGAGGGATCTTGAAAGAACACATGGTGATTGCTCACTAAACTCACAGAAAAAATCCTAATTTATGTTTAGGAAAAAAAAAGACAATTCGTGTTAATATGCCAATTTTTGTATATACACATACACATTTACACTTTTATACACACACATGCATTTGCATTTTTATATACACACATATACAATTGTGCGCATACACCTGTATTTTGTAAACACAAACACTCAGACATACACAGCTTATGAAAATTTTAAGAAAGTAAGCGTGAATAATTTGAACAAACCAGAACATGTTATGAAGCTAAAATCTGCATTTTTCTGCAATTAATTGTATTTAACAGAACAAAAGGTTTCTGAATTTCTTTCTTCAGGTGCAACAATTAGCAGGATGATAGTACAGAAAAAAGATATTGTGAAACTGTTAAGATCACAACATAAGTCAACCAGATATGTACCAAAACTGCAATGTTTAACTGGTACCAGATGCTTCATGCAAACACTGCTTTAATTAATTTAACAGAAAATAGAAAGACAAAAGGTTTTTTGCTTCATCTTCAAACTGATGTAACTGTGGCTCTTAGTCAGTGAACAGGTGTATGTTAAAAAGTATTTGAAGCATTTAATTGACTTCTAATAAATGTAGGCAGTAACCTAGAATAACATCACTTACTCAGGAAAGAACATAAGCAGGTGCTTAACCTTAAGCCTATTCAGGGAATTACATGCTTAAACAAATATGTATTAAGTGCTCTCTTGTGTTACAGGCACATATGCAGAATACTGCTCACTGGATCTGAAAAAATCAGGAATATAGCAAGGAATTATGTTCTGCTACTGCAAATGCAGCTCTTCAACCAAAGGAAGAGTTATAAGGAAATTAACTTGCTTGTTTTCCCTGCCACTAACATGCATAATTATTTAACAGATTGTAAGAAAAATGGGAGGTTTGAGAGGAGACAAGATCTCTGTCAAAAAAAAAGAAAAATATTAAGTATCAGGAAAGTCAGCACATTTTGAAATTGCACACAATGATGGGAAACACCAGAATATTTATACATACAGCTCAGTTTTTTTCTCCAGTGAGCAACAGCATGTATATATGGAATGATTTTTTGAAAATTACATTTTAAGATCTTGTATTTGGCTACAAATAAGAAATATCCATGCTTACCAGTATACAGTGCAAATTAGTTAAGTTGACTACTTCACATACAGTTTTTATTCGGTCTATTAGTTTGGAAAAATAATTGACCATTTCTTCCCTTTTAATTATTTTTGCATATCGAGGGAAAGTTGGTGGCAGCAATCTCTGATTAACAAGGGGCTCAAAGCCCATCATAATAGGATGATCTAATGAAAGAGGTGGGGGAGAGAGAAAGAGGGGGAGGGGGAGAGAGAGAGACAAGCTTCATATGTTTTCAGAACTCACATCAAACTTGAAAGTATCATACAAATTATTCAATTAGCCAAAATGAACTTTTTAACTGACACTAACTACCCAACTGAGACAATTACCACTATTTAAAAAAAAACCCAACCCTCAACACCTCAGCGTATACCTGTACAGACAGTGAGGTGGTGCTCCCTATTTTAAAAAGGCATATACACTGATTTGAAGTGCAGTGCACTGAATCAAAAGTTCATGTTATTTCTGGCTTTGAAGTGACAGTATTGCTTTCAAGAGACCCCCCATTTAGTGAAATAAAATTAAGATCAAATGATGCAAATCTGTAATGGTTTGTATAATGAGTATTATTAGTTCAAAGTAAATAGTGATATACGTCCATAGCAAAGTTTATCAAGGCAGTATGTTTAAGAAAGGAAAACGATGGTAAAATTTGATACATACCTCCTTTAGTGGTATCATTCTGTGCCTGGATACCATGATGCAATGAATTATGGATGGCAGAAAGCAAGTCAGCTGCCTGAGTCATTAGTTTCTGAGCTTCTGCAACTGCACTTGTCTGAAAGGCAGGTAACAGTTATTCACATTATGAACCAACATATTTTGACTATAGAATCAATGCTAGTATCAGAAAAAAAGAATGATATTAGGATTCTAATGTTTGTACACAACTAGTTCTGAAAAACACCCCAGCAGATTTTTGTGCAATGAAGTGTTCTTTATATTTTACATATCTATACATACATTTAATACTGCATTTTTTGCAGTACAAGATAAGCCTTAACAATAATTACTCTGAAAGTCTAGTATACACTGCATTAAAGTGCTCTACTTTTGATTTTGAAGAATCTCTTCTGCCAGATGAGGCAGAACTCCAAACTGCAAAGAGGAAAAACATCCCCTACCATTTGAAAACGCAGAATTTTTGAGAATATAGACAAAACACAACCTATCAACTGAAATGAAATCACTATAACATTAGAAGATAACAGATGTCTGCTAGAAATCTTTGCTTCATGACCTGCTGACATGCTGAATGTTCTGATGTCCTAGGAATCCAAACCTGTTAGCAAACCGGGTACCATTTAAAATAGCTCTCTGTAAAATCTAAAATCTTGTTTTAAAAATACTGGACTAACAGTCCCTGATGGAACTTTAGATATTTGAAAATCTCAAGTCAAATTGAAACTTGACTTCTTTCAGAAAAGAAGATGTTTAAAATCCCCTGAAGATCTAATAGAAGCTGAACAAGATCTGTAGCACTGCATAATACATGTTCATGTATTAAAGCATCCACAAGTCTACCTTTTGAATAAGCTGCTAAGCAGATCTAATTCAAATCGAAGTTCATGATGTAAATAACTTATACTTAAGTAATCAGACTTTAGCAACACTGAGATAATCTGATTTTGCACAGATCATTAACCCATAGCAGTTAACACAGAATTTGGTTGTATGTTAGTGTAGATCACTTCTATGTCAAGAGTTTGATTTCAGATGTAATGAATGATTACACTCAGAACGCAATTGTTCTCAACCACTCACTTTTTCTTCAACACTGGTGTCTATCAATTATACTTGCACCTGACTTTCAATGTAATCAAGGTCTTTTAAACTGTACAGTGCGCGGCTGCTCCAACAGCAAGATATGTGGGAGAGACCCGATGCCACTTAAACAAGAAACTTGTTTATTTCTTTATTAAAATGGAAGTAACAACAAGCAATAGACAGATATTTATCCTTGTATAAAGAAAAAGCTCTGTAACATGCAGTTCTTTCCCCTCTCAACAATTAGGAAATCTTACACTGAAAAAGCAGGCTAATTGCATGGAAGGCTGTTACATTCTTCTTCTCAGACCAGAGAAATCTAGATACAAATTCAGTACCACGTGGAAGGAAAAGCTAACAATTCTCTAGAGATGGACAAAACACTGCCCAATGTCAGGCAGCTCCACAGAAGGGGACTGAATTCGAGAAAGAAAAGTTTTGCTCTTGTGTGTGAAAAGAATAATCCAAACCCATAAATACTTTAAGTGTTCTAGAATGAATATTGTGTCTCTCTGCAAGGTCATAATAATGTCAGCTACTAGCCTTCCCTATGTTTTCTTTACAAATGAAAAAACTGAGTGGTTGCCACCGTAAGGCCTTATCCAACCCTTCACCTGCAGCAACATCAATTAAAATCTACAGAATCTCCAGAATAATTGCTTGATCAGAGAATAAAAAAAATGAGTGTTTCACAGGGTCACAATGCAAACACAGAAACACCAAATGAATGTACCTCTTTTTTGGTAAATGCTATTAGAACAGTCAGCAGTACCCGGGTAAACTTGACTCTGCTGAACACAGCTAAACACTGTTGATGCTGTAATAAAAAAAATAGTGCAAGTTACTAAGCAATACGCATTAAATCCCAAAACTTACAGACACAATCACTGGCTGTATAGCTATCTCCTATGCAAATGCAATTCAAATCTCAGCTTAAGTGAACAACCACAAATTATTAAACTGTTTTTCACTCCTTTTTGCTGAAGATCTATGTTAGAAGTAATTTCTGAAGAAAATAAGGTTACTGGGAAAGGAAATCCACACCTTTCTAAGTCAACCACATCAACTACATCAATTACCACTTTTTCTGGAAGGAACTACACTGCTTCCTACCCTCTCCCTTGACAGTGAAGCTGCCAGCAGCAGAAAAGCCACTGGGAAGGAACTGAGGGAAGAAGGTACAGGATAGGTAAGACCACCTCCTTTGCTAATGGCTTTTTCTTGAGAGGTAGGTGCATAAATGGTATCACTGCAGCAGTATCGCTATTCTGACATTGGGATCAATCCAGAACTCTAGCCCTGCAGAGCATAAAAGCCTACCTGCTAGCCAGGGATTTGCTCAGGACCATGTTTAGAGCAGCTAAGATATGACAATAGTGGCAACATTGGTGACACACATTTCTCATAAGCTGGTAACTACTGATTCAAGTAGTGCTGTACTTATCCATGAAATCCAGAAAAAAAGTAAACAATTCATTACTTCAAGTTCAACTTCTGGATCTCTCTCTTCTCCTTGTCGACTTCGAGTGCTCTAAGAAGGTAAAGAAATTTCAAGTAATTTATTAAAAATTGAAAAGGGAAGCTACTGATAAAATCTCTTTACCCTCTCCAGTACATCCATCTGTTAAATAACCCTAAAAAGCAGTTTTCAAATTCAAAACCTCTTAATACATATTCTAGGAACTTGAATGATCCACGGCTCTCCAATAGTAATGAGACCTATCTCAGCCCACCCTGCAAATAGGCAAGGAAATTGTATGGACATTGTATATTGTAAACTGTTGTAAAAGGAAGATGAGTAACTTAACATCACACAATATATCTGTGGAAAAAACAGAAGTTAAATACACACTTTCTGTGCCCCAGTACAGTGTTATCTTCTACATCATGATTCCACCTATGACTAGTGAAGCAACTATTAAAAGCGTTTAGAAAAGTTTGAAGACTTCACTGTCTTTAGCTAAAAGGCAAACTACCAGCATCTTACACAAACCATTATGGCGGAAACCCCACCATTTAATGACACAAAACTGCTGCACTCTTCCTAATCCAACTCCCTCCCCCAAACGTGTTAAGTACACTTGAAGTATAACTGACAAGGCAAATGTAAGAAAAATACCTTCACTCGTCTTTGCATGTCATCTTCTACGTCTTTTAGCATACCTGGAAAAGTCACAGTACAATTAAAAGCTGAGAAACATTCCTAGGGACACCTACATCAGTCAGGCAGGGGGAAAAAGTTTTGAGAGGAAATCAAGTTTTGAAGTGCTTTACATACCCACTAGCCAAAGACTAGACAAAAAACAATATTGTGAGGGATTGTGGGGATACCTTGTAACAATAGATTGGAGTACAAACTGACTGATACAAAGCTAAAGTGTTTAAAATTTTTCTCAAAATAAATCAATAGAAAGCTCCAGTACGAATCAAAAATAGTGCATCAAAAGGCTAACGTACATACATATAATATCAGGTACATATGTAAGTATTCATAGCTTTAGAACTACTAGATAGCTTTTTTCTCAAAAGCAATCTGTTTAGATCACAACAAATTGTGAGGCAAAGAAGCAAAATTCAAGCAGTGCACTTACCAGTGGTTTGTATCTATCTCAGACCTGAATGAGCTCATGCCTAGCCATTGGTTGGCACATCTAAAAGCCCTTCTGTTTCTCAGGCATTTAACAACTAAACAGCTGAACCTTTTCTTCAAGGAAAAATAATTTCATCTCTCTTTACCAAGCCACTTATTTTAACGAGACTAATAAAAAAACCCTTAACATCCAAGATTCCTGCCAATTCATTAGGTTTGGTTGAGTGTAACCAACATGCTCAAAAGAGAGAATGATGGACAGATACACAGAAAGCACCAAACCATACCTGTAACTCTAAGATCTGTCACGCTGTTGGCCATTTTAAATCCGTAAGTCATTGACTGAAAATCTTCCTAAAAGTATAAAAATAAAAGAAGCAACATGTAGTGAAATATAAACAGTAGTAGTTACATTTTCAAGTTGGGGTTTGGGGTTTTCCTTTTGGTTGCTTTCTTGCTGTGTTTTCTTGGTTTTTTTTTTTGTTTTGGGGTGTTTTTGTTTAACCACACCAAGTATAAAAATCCAGTTTTATTCTGCACAACTGAATACCCCATGGTTTGGGTGACTTTCCTGCCTATCCAGCTTGGGGTAATTATTTTCTGCATAAATCCTTAATGTCTGTATGCCCTTCATAATTTTCACCAAGTGCCACCCTATCAATATGTTACCAGAACTATAGATGCAAAGTACTATTTAATCAATTTTAGATATAGTCAGTAAGTCGGTGATTTGCCCAAGCTCAGAGGAAATGAAAATTGCTCTGAGCACAGAAAACCACAGTGATTCCATTGCTAGATGGACATTTCAGACAAAAGACAATTGTGGGTATCTAAAGCAGAAAAATAAAAAATTAAACAGGATGAAAACCAGAAGTAAAACCGATTTTAAATGGTTAGTCAAAAGACTTCCATTTCTATTGGAGTAAAATATTTATGTAACTTAAATAATCAAGCAAAATACAGAAAAGAGCATGCAACACCATCATTGACAAAAACTGCATTTTAAAGAGATCAAGTCTAATAATTTTAGGAGGATGAACTGCTGCTCCTACAGTATCCTCAAATCAAACAGTAATAAATTTCTCTAAAATACTCTTTTATTTGCATTACAGAGCCTATATATAATGTTACATATTTAACCATAGGGGCTACTGAAACACGTACCTCCTCAAAAACAGCTGCTTTGTTAACCTTTTCTCTGGCAATATCACAGATTTTTAGGATTCCTAGAGCAAAGGCCTTCATAGCAGGATCTTCTATGAAGTCTGGATTATGAATATAAAGGCAAGTGAATACCGTCTGTGCCAAGGAATGTCCCTCTAACCATGTTATCTAGGGAAAAGAAAATTAAATGTTTTACTGATGACAGCCAAGGCCTCATTTTTATATCTCCTTTCTTTTTCCATCTTACTGTGCTTCAATGAGTCATTAAGGAAGTCTCTATCATGGCAACCTTCCATCTAGCAAAAATGGCAAGAGAAGGTCTCTCAACCCTTAGCCTTTGTCCATCTGCTGGCTGTGGCAGGCCAGCAGTTACTAAACTCTAAAGAATATCCAAATCTGGTGTTGGATAAACCTCTTCCACAAAGTTCAGCTGTGATCTCTGTGACGTAGACATGACATTTAAGTTTAGACATTAAGACATTTAAGAGAACATCAGATTTATAAGCTTTCCCTATAGAATGAAAAATGCAGGTGACGACGAAACAACTCAGTAATATTCTGGATGTTCTCTTCTACCACTTACAGCTTCTTTTCACAATCCCCTTTCTCTACTACTTTCATGCTGCTTTAAGCTACAGGAAAAGCTTCAGTAATTTAAAACATTACTTCTATCTTGCAATAGCATAAAACACAGTAGGATTAGATTTCTAATATGACCATTGTCCCTTTTCAAAAAAAAGTCAGCATCTGGGGGGGGTCAGGGAGTGGGGAGGGAAAGAAGACGAATTATGTTAAACTGTGTCAAATACACAGTGACCTTTGACCTTTACATGTCTTTTTGGACTAAACTAAATTGAAATGGTGTTTTAAAAACAAAGTAATTTTATTGATGTAATTTTAAAATTAGAGTATCTGAAAATAATCTTTATTATTTACTGAGGAAATAAAGGCATAGACAAATTAAAAAAAAATTACAATTAACTAACAACTGATAATTCACTTATTTCCTTTCTAAATGGATTTAGGTATTTTATTTTCTTTCTTCAAAATGCCCCTGTAAGATCAGTCAATACTGGCTGTACAGAAATGAGCAACAGAGTGCTGCAGGTTACTGCACACTCACTTTCCAACACAGTCCAACACTAATATACAGCAGGCAGTCAGATAAACATACATTTAAAACCCACAAATTACAAAACGTTTTTTATGTTATTCAAAACACTATCAGTTGTCTTCCATAATGACTTCTTATAATAAAAGCCCCCAAAATCAAAGTTATGCCTCTTATAATAGCCAATGCAAATATCTAAATGGAATTTAAAATATTAAATATGTGTTTTCTCCTTGGTCAATCTTTTTTGTTGAGTTCTACTGGTTTTTGTTTTTCAAAACTGCATTAGAGATTATATATTTTGAAAGCAAAACCATCTATAATTAAGAGCAGAGAAATGCTTACCAAACAACAAAAACATGTATCCATTATTCCTACTAGCTCAGGAGAAGTGAGATCCTTTATTTTAATGGTGCCATCCTTAGAAAACAAAGAAAAAAAATCTAAAGACTATGGAAGCCTATAGGCAAAATACAGCTTATTTGTACAGATGAAAAGGAAATTACAATTTGGTTAAGACTTCAGAATATTTGTATACCACTAGCTTTACTGATCAGCTTCGTCATGTGCCTGAAATTCTGAAAAACTTTGCTTTCCCATCATTATGTTGAACACCGACTGAACATAATACTACTTAAAGAGAAAGCTAAAATTAAATTTCTGATTTATGAGTAGCCAATAAAAGTTTAAAACCAGTTAACTGTCAACACTTAAATCACAAAATAGTATGTATAATCATAGTAATGACTGAACAAGGAATAATATGCAGGACCCATTCTTTGAAGACTGATTTTTACACTGTGAATACTTGTGCAGAGTTCTACTGCTTTCAAGGTCAGGACCAAGAAAGCAGCAACCCTATTTCTTTCATTTTATTTGTCCAATATATGCAATTCTGCATACATTCCACATGACTGAGGCGGCCAATATTTTACACAGAATTGTCTTAGTCAATTCAAAACAAAGTCTATGATAAAAAATATTTTCTCCTTAAAAAGGGACTAACCAATATGTCGTCATATAAAAGACACATTTTGGGGATGCAAAAACATTTCTGAAATGTATTTCTTTGAGGTTATCAATACAACAATTACACAGTACTTTTCACTGGAAGAGTTAGCATCATTGTGATAATGTAGGTAACAAAAAAGGTAAATATCACAAGCTCTTTCTTACTTAACTATGCAAAATAAAGAAGAAAAAAAACAATTTTAAGTAAAGAATGAAAACATTAATTATGTTGAATTGTGCTTAACTGCAATTTGATAAAACTGTATTATACTTTTACATACAGTGTAGGCAAAACCAGATAAGTCCCACAAACCTTAATAGCTTGCTCAAAGTTAAGAACCTTTCTGTTAACTTGGTTTCCAATCATACCGGCATCCATCTTGGGATCCATCATTTCAATGGCAGACATGGCTTCAAAAAGACCAAAACTAAAAACACCAATAAAAAAAAAATGTTCTGAATGTAACTGTTTCATGTTATACAAAACAGTCTTCACAAACCAATGTAAAAGAACATATGATGACAAACTGAGTATGCTGTATTCTGAATACAGACACCTAGGTAAGGTATGTGAACATTACTACGGATCTTTAGAGACGATAGTTTTCAGGAATTTGAGGCTCTCTCAACAAGTGGCGACCCAGACAGAGTCCCCACATAAACAGAAACATGCGGCTGTCCAGGTTCTAGGGAGTGCCTGAGCCTGTCGCTTGTACCAGAGAGTGGTAACGACAGTGGCTGTCTCCAGTGTGACCAGGTGGATGACCTGCTCTGCCTCGTGGCAGAGCTGAAAGAGGAAGTGGAAAGGTTAAGGAGCATTAGGGAATGTGAGATGGAGATAGACCGGTGGAACCGCACCCTACCATCCCTCAGGACAAGGCAGCAGATGGAGGCTCCATAAGTAGCAGAGGATCCACTGCCCTCTTGCCAGCGAGCAGAAGTTAGGGACCAAAGAGATGGTGGGGAATGGAAACAGGTCTCTGCTTCGGGCAGGAGGCGAATTCCCTCCCAGCCTCCCTCACCTTCCCAGTTGCCCTTACATAACAGCTATGGGGCTCTGGAACTCAAGGGCCAGGCAAATGAGGATGGGGATGAAGGTCCATCCAGGGGGTTGGCTAGGGAGAGTCAGTCACCCCTACCTATCAGGACTGACCTGCATTAAGAAAAAAAGGAGGGTAATATGCCGACTGGACCCATCCCATGGGGAAGTCTGCTGCCTCCCTGGGGCCTGGGTCAGGGACTTTACTAAGAAACTCCCTGGTCTGGTACGGCCCCCTGATTACTATCCACTATTGATTGTACAGGCTGGCAGTGATGACATTCCAGAGAGAAGTTCCAAATCAATCAAAAGGGACTTCAGGGCACTGGGAAAAATGGTTGAAGGATCAGGAGTGCAGGTAGTGTTCTCCTCGATCCCATTAGTGGCAGGGAGGAACATAGAAAGGAACAGGAAAACTAGACTGATTAACACGTGGCTCACAGTCTGGTGCCATCGGAGGGGCTTGGGTTTTTTTGATCATGGGGAGGCTTACATGGCTCCGGGCCTGTTGACAATAGATGGTGCCCAGCTCTCTCAGAGGGGGAAAAGGATCCTCGCTCATGAACTGGCGGGGCTCGTTGAGAGGGCTTTAAACTAGGCCTGAAGGGGGGAGGGGATATAACCAGGCTCACTAGAGAGGAGCCTGGGGGTGACACCCCCATGCTGGGGGTGAAACCGATAGTCCAGCTCAAGTGCATCTACACTAATGCACGCAGCATGGGCAACAAACGAGAGGAGCTGGAAGCCACTGTGCAGCAGGATGGCTATGATGTAGCCGCCATCACAGAAACGTGGTGGGATGCCTCCCATGACTG